ACTGTTTGATTCTCTGATCTGTTGTTAACGCATCGACAACTCCGAGACAGCGACAAATAGTTGGGATTTAGGGCAACACAAAACAAAATTGAATTAAAATTAAAATTAATTGTGTAATTTTGAAAGTTTTAATGGTTTTATTCTTTTGTGTGATTTTACTGTTTTAGTGTGTTTTAATCTTTTGTGTGATTTTAATGTTTTAATTGTGATTCTGGTGTTTGTTTTATGTGATGATTTGTGATGTGGACTGTGAAGCGCTTTGTGTTGCCCTGTGTATGAAAGGCGCTCTACAAATAAACTTTGATTGATTGATTGATAAAACCACCAACTTTCAACTGATACGATATGGCTTTTTTCATTGGTCCCGTTTCATTTAAAAAAAAACGTACAAACAACTTTAGTTTAGGGTCTTACATTGGGGGCAGCCTTCCAACTTCCCAAAACCATTCTTCCTTTTGGACATTTCAACCCAAAACAGTGACAAAAAAACCAAAGCGTAACACATTTCTGAAGGCATATTTCTAAAAGTAAAATCGCACATCTCTATAGAATAAGGCTGGAAGCAGGAGTCGACAAAGAGACTCCGGCCGAGTAACCGTCACAAATGTTGTGAATAAATGCTTATGATGGCAGAAGAAGACCGGCCGCCATCTTGGTAATGTAACATACAGCCTCGAGTATATAGATCACACACAAGTTGTTCATCGACAGCTTAAAAGGCAAAAATATGGATAAAAATGTTTACTTATTTAGGTCCTAATCATGTTGTGTTGTCCATGGATGCAATTGTCCGTGTGTAGCTGTGGTATGATTGCCTTTCGCCACAAAATGCAAGTCGTTGTGGCGGCCATTTTGAATGTTTTTGGAGAACCTTGGAACTCCATTCTTCAGCACTGGGTTTAGGCTTTCTCTTCACTTCAATTCAACAAAAGGAAAATGGAACTGAAATATATTTGTGGCGATTTTCAAGACACAAAAAAAATGAAAACAAAAACATTTTGGTGGCTAATTTTAAAACGGTTAAGAATATCAGACGACAGCTGATTCTTCTGCAAGTTTCCTTTGAATTAAACTTCTTAAAACCTACAAGAGGCCATTTTTTGAATACCAGATATATGCAGTCTCTTTTCTCTTGAATATAACTTTAAAATAATGTAGGGATGAAATATATTTAGCAACTTTTTAACCTCTTAACAACCGCCTCATTTTGGCTCGTGCACAATGGTTGGGCATACCCAAATGTCTTTGCTTATTTAAAAACACATCTTACATCTCACATGCTTGTGTGATGCATCATTTTAAAGCTAGAGCCTTCTAGTTTATGTAAAAAAACACTAAAATAATGTTTGTCATTCCTATTTTCCTCTGCATCCTTTGAAGTTAGGGAAAAAACCCCAATTTTTTTAGCCTCGCCTAACATTTTCAATTTCTAAAGGCCCTAAAAAAGGCATACTTCATTGTAAGTTCACAATATTCAAACCCTCTGTTCATTGTGTTGTTGACAACAACTGTCTAAAGTTTCAGACTTCTAAGTTTTATAGTTTTTATGCAGTTTCTCCTTTTCATCAAGTAGTGCACATTTGGCAAAATTTGGCACAAGTGTGCCAAATTGTGCCAAATATCTTTACTTACATTTAATCATCATAAAAACAATATTTTTTATTATTGGTACTTATAAGTTACTAATCTATGTGTGTTTTTCTTTTTTAAATGTCAAAGTTATTTTTTTATGAGTGTAAATTCATTGCAGATTCGAGAGCGTCTTTTATCTTATTGTCTTTATCTATCTTTATTGTCCAGGCCCAACATAAGACAGGACACCATTGTCCCACCCCTTGTTCGAAAGCTTTCCTCATTGGCTACAAGGACATGTCAATCGTAAATCCCGGAAGTAAACGTAAACAAGTTGGGACCCCACAAAAGATCAGTCACCAATGCGCAAACAGCAGCACTAGCGTTATTTGCGGGACCTATTGCAGACCCAAAAATTGGTCTAGCTTTTCGGGAGTAGTCTCATTTGAAAGATAAGGAGCTAAGGAACACGTAGATACCAGATGTTCGGGTGAAAAACAAAGCTAAAAGTCCGTTACAAGTGAAAGAGTAACATCTGTGCTCTTTTTTTTCGTTTTTTTCGCTAAAGATAAATGCACATTTTTGGATTATTTCTGCAGAATGGATTTTACTTTGGGAAATACAAGTGGATATAATTTTCCTTTGGACTGTTCCAGAGAGAATGATGTATTGCAAGCTGGGAGGAGAGCTGATTTATTTGTACAGCACAAGCCCAAAGGTAAAAAACTATTTCGGAATTGATTTATTTTGTGCCCACATTATGTGTTATATCTTTTGAATGCAGTTTACACTTGTATATAAATGTAGATAAGAAAATAAGCTTTAAAATGATATACAGCTTTTGGGGTTTGGTGTTCAAAATACATCTGCTATTGCCAGCAGAACATTTAAAAACATAAAAACCGCCGCCGGCGCGCCGGTTGTTGCTAAGTGGTTTGCAATGTTAGTTCTCTGCTTTTCATCAATTATTTCTATGGATAATACATGTTTGGGGCCATTTTATAAGATAATTCAAATACCAGACAAAAACTCAAAACTAAAAATGGATTGATGAAATGTATCTGTTACGGTTTAAAAGCCATTTTGAATGTAAGGCGTGAGAATTCTTCTACAAACTTCTACTTTCTTCAACAACAACAAAATTGAAAAACTTTAGACAAATTTTGAGATAAAATCTATTAGCAGCTGTTTTGAAAGCTCTTCTCTCTTCTCTACATCGGCCTCTTCTCCGAGCTGCTGGTAACTTAAAAACAGGATAAAAATCTCTTTGTGACTGATTTAAAAGCCGTGTCGAGGGCAGACTCTTCTCTGATTGGTCGGGTGCTTGGCTTGGATTGGTTGAAGTTTTGATCAGAGCGGTCCGCCGGTCGAGGTGGGTCTGGCTCATCTGTAAACCGTGTCCTTTCTGGAGGCGGAAAGAGAAGAATGATGTATTATTGTTATTAATATTTGTGGCTAAGTCAGAGCAGTGTGAGCACAGGGACCAGGGCAGCAAACATAATGAGAGAGCTAGTGGTTATTCGATGGATAAAAATGGGTTAAAGGGACAAGTTAGAGGCGGTGTTTGACGTCTGGGCTCACTAACACTGTTTTAGTTAGATTTGTATATAGTATCTACCAGATAGAGAGAGACCAGAGAGAGACCAGAGAAAGACCAGAGAGAGACCAGAGAAAGACCAGAGAAAGACCAGAGAGAGAGACCAGAGAGAGACCTGATAGAGAGAGAGAGACTTAAAAAAGACAAGAGAGAGACAGAGAAAGACCAGAGAGAGAACAGAGAGAGACCAGAGGGAGAGACAAGGCGGACTAAAGACGAGAGAGAGAATAGAAAAAGACCAGAGCGAGAGATCTCTAAAAAAGATCATAGAGAAACATGAGAATAATGTGAGCATCAGTTAGTAGTCACGTGAGGGAGGGGCCATTATTTAAAGGAACAATATGTAAAAATCTGGCCAAAAGTGGTACTGCAGTCACAGTCAATATTTTGTAGTCCTCTCCCACTCTCCCTGACTCAGGTTGCCAGATTCACACCAAATCCAGCAGCAAACACAGGGAATTATTTTATCAGTTTGTCAGTCTCCATTCACATTACCATGACAGCCGTGCTAATGCTGAATGAATGTTTTGATTCATGTTTTTTTATTATTATTATTTGGACATTTGAGATAAAAAATAAAAGCAATGTAATTATACATAGTTTATGCAAAATAAATAAGCAATTGATGTCCAAAATAGGAGTGGGAAGAATCGATGTTGGAACATATTTCTTCAGCGTATCAACATCAGGGTTTGCTCCAGAGGATATCATCTTTCAGTTTTATTTATTCCCTATTTTTTAGACAAACATGTATAAGTCCCACATCAAAAAGAGACTAACATTATTTTAATTGGGGTACATGTGGTCTCAAATGATTATTTTTACAATTAAGCTATAATCTGCAAAAAAACGTCTTGACCTTCATCTTTTACCGTTTTTAGAGCAATCTGTCATAGAATGTGATAACATGCAATTAAATACAAAAAGACATAGCCCGGGATCGAACCCGGGTTCCTGCATCGTAAGCGCACAGACTAGACCACTAGACCACAGATTCACACAGATAGAGTCACTGTGAAGAACGGACTCAAACTAGAAAATTCTGCATCACACGTGAACTTTTATCAGCTGTCTCAATTGTTCAAAGGCGTCTCGATATAAATCCTCGTTTTAGTCTTTGTTTTGTCATTAATGATTTGAGAGTCATAACAAGACCTAGTTCTGCGCCACATGATATTTTAGCACTGAGATTAATGAGCCGCGCGGAGTTCTGGCAACCCGATCACGGACTTACATGACACTTCCTGATCGGCGAAACGGCGGAGGGTAGGACATCAAAATCAAAACAATAACAACTTTTACGGGTCGTAAAACTAATTTTGATAATCAAATATCTCGGCTGAACTACTGTTATCAGTTAAAGATGAATTCGAAAAGAGTATGATTTAATAACGCCTTTAGAAATATTCGGGTCATTTAATGATGACTTGACATGCAAATATTACATATTGCTCCTTTAACCATCTCCAGTTCATGCAAACGTCGCTCAAACACAAACCCAGTTTAAGAAATACAACAGAACACACGTACAAAACACTGGTGGAACTGGTTTGGAGTCTGTGAAGAAATGCTTACATCATCATTTTGATTCACACAATTATTTTAAGTGTGAAAAATTGGGTGTTACTTTTAAACAGCAAAAAATACATTGCATTCGTTATTTCTCATGGAGAGTCATGCTAATGCTAAAGCTAACAAGCATGCTAAGCATTCACTTCCTGGTCCAAGGACTAAAGTCTTTTAAAGTGGATTCCTCAGACTGGGTTTCATTTGAGAGGCGTTGTTGCCAAACTTTAAAACTGTTTATTTGATAAATGCTGAGTACAAACCTTCAGCTGATCTGGCGGCTGCTGTGGACATGTGACAGAGTTACACTGTTGAACTATCAACAATGACACTCACTACTATCAAGAGTATGAATACCAAGTGTGAGTTGAATTTGTTTTAGAGAGCACAGAGAGAAATGATAGAGGGACAAGAGATCAGAAAGAAAGACCAGAGAGAGAGACAAGAGAGAGACCAGATAGACCAAAGAGAGAGAATAGAGGGAGACCAGAGAGACAAGAGAGAGAGACCAGAGAGGAGAGAGACCAGACGGACCAGAGGGAGGGACAAGAAAGAGAGACCAGGTAGAAAACCAGACAGACCAGAGGTAGAGGAGAGACACCAGAGAGAGACCAGAGAGAGACCACAGAGAGAGACCACAGAGGGACCATGTACAGAGTTTAGAAATCGAGACCACAGACAGACCAGCCGGACCAAAAACCAGAGAGAGAGGCCAGGTAGAGAGATCATTGGTCACATTCATCGATCACGTACTTTTGCTTGTCGCGGTTCTTGTTGCGGTTGTTGCGGTTGGCCGTGGGGATGGAGTGCACCGACGAGCTCTTCTTGGACGAGTGGGACGAGTGGGAGGAGTGGGAGAGACTGCAGCGAGACTGACCCGCGTTGTGGTCAAACTGCATCAGGCAGAAGATCAGGTCTGAGGGCACCAGCTCGAAGGAGTACGGAGGGTTGGTGATCACGTACCTGCAGCAAAACACAACACAACAGCAAAGACCGGGGTTAAAAATGGACGGAGGAAGGTAGAGCTGTCTGTGTTCTGTCATAAGTTTCAAAAATCTGATTTATAGGAGGATTTTCCCAAATTTTAGGAAAGAACTGCCCTATCCACTAAACTCTCTGGCCTTATTGGACGAGCAAGTATCACCAGAATGATTGAAAATTAGGAAGACCAATAGTCTTGATGGAAGTAGAAAATCTGCCTATATACCTTTTAAAGTTGGGGTATCTAATTGTGTATTGTATGTATGTCCTGTTTCCACCAGCCCTACTTGTCCCTACTCTCCTCAAGAGGGAGAGAGACCAGACATACCACAGAGAGAGAAGAGAAAGAGAGACATGTGAGAGAGACAAGAGAGACCCGAGAGTGACCAGAGAGAGACAAAGAGAAAGAGACCACAGAGAGAGACAAGGGCGAGAGAGAGTGACCAGAGAGAGAGACCGGAGGAACACCAGAGGGAGACCAGAGAGAGCGACACCAGAGAGAGAGACCATAGCGAGACCAGAGAAAGATCAGAAAGAGTTTTGAATGTCTTGGATGACTGAGAATTCACTGAATCAGTCCTAGGGTCTCTGAAGTCTAAACGTAAGGCGTGTGTTGCAGGTGTGTGTTGCTGGTTACCGTTTGGTGCACTGGCTCTGTGTGTTGAAGTGTGCGTCTCGGAGTCTGTAGATGCCGAAACACAGCATGTTGTACGTCTTCAGGGCTTTACAGAACAGGTCGCCATAACAACCACCATCCTGGGAAACAAAACAAGAATTATTCAATATTCACCGCTGCTTCTCAAACTTTTATAACCAAAATAAAGTCTGTGTCACATGGTCCCAGAACACTATGCAGACCAGTACAGGAGTAAAGGTAGTTTAGACAGTTTAGACCAGCGAGACCAGTGAGAGACTAGAGAGTGAGCCCAGAGAGAGACCAGAGACTAGAGAGAGGTCTTCAGGGAGTGACTAAAGAGAGTGAGACCAGAGAGAAACTAGAGAGAGGTATTCAGGGAGAGACCAGGGAGAGACTAAAAAGAGACATCAGAGAGAGACCAGGAAGAGACCAGAGAGACAGACCAGAGAGAGACTAGAGAGAAGTCTTTAGGGAGAGACTAAAGAGAGAGACCAGGGTGAGACTAGAGAGTGAGACAAGAGAGAGATCAGGGAGAGACTAAAGAGAGACATCAGAGAGAGAAAAGGAGAGACTCGAGCGAGAGACCAGAGAGAAACAAGGCAGAGACCAGAGAGACCAGAAAGAGACTGAAGAGAGAGAGCAGAGAGAGACAAGAGAGAGGAACTAGAGACTGACTAGAAAGAGGGACCAGACAGAGACAAGCGATCGACCAGAGAAAGAAACCAGAGAGAAGAAAGAAAGAGAGCATACTTCTTGACCTGAACAGTAGTATCTCTCCCTCTTCCCTGTGTCTGTGTGTTTCCTCACCCCCAGATCAGCGAAGGGTCCGTCGTACAGAGCGAGCTGGGCCACTCGGCAGCGGTCGCGGTTGGCCAGGGTCTGGGGCGTGCTGTACCCCCCTCTCAGGGCGTTCTCCTCGGCCAGCAGACCCTCCAGCTCTGGGGTGGCGCCTCCGGTCACCAGGGTTCGGATCAGCGTCAGGATGTTGTCGTTGAAGTAGGTCTGAGAGAGGAGAGAGAAAATTTGAGACAGAAAGTTTAATAGTATGTTATGAAAGGCCATTGATAACCTGGACAATGGTGGATTAATTTGGTCTCTCTCTCTAGTCTATCTCTGGTTTCTCGCTGAGCTTTCTCTGGTCCGTCTCTTTTCTTTCTTTAATGGGTTTCTCTCTGGTCTCTCTAGTCTATCTCTAGTCTCTGTCTCTGGTCTCTCTCTGGTCTCTCTCTAGTCTCTCTCTAGTCTCTCTCTAGTCTCTCTCTAGTCTCTCTCTAGTCTCTCTCTAGTCTAGCTCTAGTCTCTGTCTCTCTCTCTCTGGTCTCTCTCTGGTCTCTCTCTAGTCTCTCTCTAGTCTCTCTCTAGTCTAGCTCTGGTCTCTGTCTCTGGTCTCTCTCTGGTCTCTCTCTGGTCTCTCTCTGGTCTCTCTCTGGTCTCTCTCTAGTCTCTCTCTAGTCTCTCTCTGGTCTCTCTCTAGTCTCTCTCTAGTCTCTCTCTAGTCTCTCTCTAGTCTAGCTCTGGTCTCTGTCTCTGGTCTCTGTCTCTGGTCTCTCTCCAGTCTATCTCTGGTCTCTGTCTCTGGTCTCTCTCTAGTCCATCTCTGGTCTATTTCTAGTCTCTCTCTGGTCTATTTCTAGTCTCTCTCTGATCTCTCTCTAGTCTTTCTCTAGTCTCTGTCTCTGGTCTATCTCTAGTCTCTGTCTCTGGTCTCTTTCTAGGTCTCTGGTCTCTGGTCTCTGTCTCTGGTCTCTGTCTCTGGTCTCTCTCTCTAGTCTCTGTCTCTGGTCTCTCTCTCTAGTCTCTGTCTCTGGTCTCTGTCTCTGGTCTCTCTCTAGTCTCTGTCTCTGGTCTCTCTCCAGTCCATCTCTGGTCTCTCTCTAGTCCATCTCTGATCTCTCTCTAGTCTTTCTCTAGCCTCTGTCTCTGGTCTCTCTCTGGTCTCTCTCTAGTCTCTCTCTAGTCTCTCTCTGGTCTCTCTCTAGTCTCTCTCTAGTCTCTCTCTAGTCTCTCTCTAGTCTCTCTCTAGTCTAGCTCTGGTCTCTGTCTCTGGTCTCTGTCTCTGGTCTCTCTCTAGTCTCTGTCTCTGGTCTCTCTCCAGTCTATCTCTGGTCTCTGTCTCTGGTCTCTCTCTAGTCCATCTCTGGTCTATTTCTAGTCTCTCTCTGGTCTATTTCTAGTCTCTCTCTGATCTCTCTCTAGTCTTTCTCTAGTCTCTGTCTCTGGTCTATCTCTAGTCTCTGTCTCTGGTCTCTTTCTAGGTCTCTGGTCTCTGGTCTCTGTCTCTGGTCTCTGTCTCTGGTCTCTCTCTCTAGTCTCTGTCTCTGGTCTCTCTCTCTAGTCTCTGTCTCTGGTCTCTGTCTCTGGTCTCTGTCTCTGGTCTCTGTCTCTGGTCTCTCTCTAGTCTCTGTCTCTGGTCTCTCTCTAGTCCATCTCTGATCTCTCTCTAGTCTTTCTCTAGCCTCTGTCTCTGGTCTATCTCTAGTCTCTGTCTCTGGTCTATCTCTAGTCTCTGTCTCTGGTCTATTTCTTTATCCCCTTTATGGACCAATGTCTCTATGTGTTTAGTACCAATGCATTTCTTGTGTTTGAACCGTTTGATTCTCTGATCTGTGTTTGCGAATCGACAGCTTATTCTAGTCGTCTGCGATAACTGCTGTTGTGATTTAGGACTATACAAAACAATAAATTGACATTGAGTTGAATACTGCCTCTATCTTCAAGCTCTATCTCCTGTAGGTTTTAAAGCGGTGGAGGTTAGCTTGTTAGCTTGTTAGCTCGAGTCATCAGCTGTTCTGCTCTCATTCACTCTGACACGAATGGGCCGATGACGGATGAGGCCTGTCTCTTAAAAACACAGCTCCTCTGTCTGTGGAGCACTCAACTGCTAACACTGACAAATGGAGACAAGAGGGATCATTCCGTCTTGGCTTTGAGACTGTCCATTGTGGAATATGCACTGGTTATGTTGGAGGCGATTGATGGACTGCGAATGTAAAGACGTATGTTCGATGGTTAGGGTTAGTGTCAGTGTTTGGAGGTTGATCATACACATGTGTAAGTAAGTAAGTACTTACTGAGGCCCTTGTCTGAAGAAGGGCTTCAGCCCGAAACGTAACGTTTTTTTGGTGTGTAAATTAAATACACTGATTGGGAGCTACGCTCCTGTGGACTCACCACCTGCAGGAGGATCAGTGAGGGGCTGGTGCTCTGTGAACTGGGTGCAGCTCTGACTGTGTAATGACAGTTTTTAGAGTAATCACATTAAAACCAGCCGCAGCAAATACACGGACGTAAAAGGCCTTTTCAATGCAGAGACGACCTTCTGACGCCATGCTGAGCTTTGTGAAGGTCCCTGCTGTCTGTCACACCCTTGTGTCTTTCGCATCTCGCATCTGTATGCTTGCATTTCTACCATTGTCTGTCTGTTCGCACCTCCATGCCCTGTGTCTGATTGCCTCACCACAGGGGCATGGCGCCTGCGCTCCCTATGCGCCTCCTTCACCGGTGGCCCCCTCCCATCTGTTGTGGCCGTGACGGTCTTTCTATGTAAACAGGAAGCCTGAGCTCTGCGAGCCAGAGCTGGGATATGCTGCCTTTCTTTGTATATGCTGGCTCTCCGCACGTGTGTTACAATAAACTTACGCTCCTGAATTAAGACAAAGACCTTTGAGCTTTCTCCTTGCTTTGGGGTATGTAATTCTATAACAATTTGGCGTTGCTGACACGTTCTTGTTGGATTTTTTTTTTCGGCGTGGAGACGACTCGTGTTGTTTTGGCCAAACCTGGGACAAAGGACCAGCCTCCTACCTCACTTAGTGTTTGACGAGAAGCAGGGGGGACACGGCTCGCCTCGCGCTGGAAAAACTATTCGACTACAGGACCATAAAAGAACCTAATCTGGTGAGTCTTGTCTTTTCATCTGCGTAACGAGCCCAGGGCAGCCCTTAAGTCGACACGGGGATTTGTTTATTTACGTATTTTTGGGGTATTTCATTCATTGCCACAGCATAGTCTGTGTGCGGGATTTTTTGGGGTATTTTGTTCTAGATTGAAGCTAGCGGATGCGTGGTAGTAATCGCTCTGTAAGCGACCCTGATAATTTCTCTGAGTGTCTTCAGCCAGACCCGCTCCGTTTCAAGAACGCGCGCTCGTTGGTTGAACCAGCGGGGGGGGAACGGAGCGCCCCAAAGTGGGTAAGAGCAGGGAGAGACTAAGCGGGTTAGGTCCATTGTTCTGTACGAGAAAATGGGAAAATCAATCTAGAAATGCCACACCGAGGGGAATGTTGACGTGCCCCGTTACAATGGCCATGGAAAAACGGTTCGGACCTAAAGCTATGGAGGCTCTATGTCTCTGAATCAATTACGCATCTTGCGTGATAATTTAGAAGAAGAAAGGAAAAAAAAATATTACTTGGTTTTAAGAATATCACGGCAAAAGACGTTAGAGAAAGAAATATGTAAAAACAATAGCTCCTCCGCTTTTCACCGAAGCGGAGAACACACAGGCGGACACACACACACACACACACACACATCCCACACACCCCCACACCCCCACCCTTTTTCCCCTACTAACAATAAGTGTGCACCCAAACAAGGCGTTGGGTTTTAAAAAAAAAAAAAAAAATGAGCAGACTACTGTTGTCCCTTTTTCCTCTCCCTGTCCAGGTCTGTCGGCGCTTTTCCTCCGCGCTCTGTCCTCTGCCTCAAAGCCCCAGCACCAGCCCTACGCCCCAACCACGGCGGCGCTCGCACCAGCTGAGACCCCGCGAGAAGTGGGCCCAAACCCGGGAGCAGAAGAAGACGTGGCGGAAGCAGATACACGCTCAGGAAACCGCAGAAGAAGAAGCGGGGGAAGCAGATATGTGAGACACCGACAACTGCCTTGGAGGCCAGAGACAAACTGCTCCAAATCCCGTGTCTGTTCCCCACGGAGGCGGCAGCGTGAAACACAAAACGCACCCGCTGAAACCCCGTTGAAAGTTGCCCCCGCACCGCAAACAGAACAAGCCAAAAGTACCGGCACGTTTGGTTATTCACCAACCCTCATGGACCACAGGCTAACGCTTTGGGCTACCTGGGCCTCCTGCGGACTTTGAGAAACTTCCACAGCCCGGCGGAAAGACTGTGTGCTCGACATGGGTCGAAGGACTGTCACCGGAGGAGGCGTTAAAGGCAGAGGCTCACACGGGGCCAGAGGACGGCAGAGGCGGGCGTGGAGGAAACACGAGCGACTGACCAAACCCGGGTTCACATTCGTCACCAAAGCGACCGCTCATGTCACGTAAGTTTGAACAAGAACAAATTGCAATTGGCACTTTTTAGAGATAATTCATGCTGAATTCCCGTAACATACGCTAACAATCTGTGGTGTAAAACTTAAAATTCTGGATGACTCCGGGGCAACAAATTCTGTGCTAAAAAGTGACAGCCTTTCTGTCTCCCCTAAAATGAGTGGCCGCTTCACATTCTCATTAGCAGCGTCGGGAGAGACGACTAAAGAGCAATTTACGTCACCGCTAACGTGTTTTGATTCTCAGGGCAACCAGCTTAAACATTCTTTTCTATATTCCCCATTGTGCCCGGTTAATCTACTAGGCCGAGACCTTATGTGCAGACTCAATTTAAATCTGCTCTCAACACCAAGCGGCCTACGGGTGGTACACGCTAGTGAGCTAGCAAATGCTCCATGTTTCACCGGCATGCATGAGGAGGCACCGGTCCCAAAAGTTAACTACCACTGGAAATTGACACCAAACCCTGAGATTGCTAAGTTATTAGCCACAACAAGTGGATAGAGTGACGCCCGCACAAAATTTGGAGGTCAACCACGCGAACGACCTAAGCTGCTCTCTCCGGTCGTTCCCAGACAATAACTTGGAGTTTGAAAATTCATGCAGTGTAGTGAAGATAGGCTAACGGAGTACGTTTATTGAGATAGGCACCACTATCTGTGCTACTTAATGAGCAACAAAAACATTTTATCGTGAAACAAAGGTGAAG